TAAGCTATTACGCAGTACGAGAGATACTCTCGTAAGAGAACGTACTCGGTTACTAACGTAACCTCGGTTCTCTCTAGAGAGGGAACGAGTACTGCGTATCTTGCCGTGCTTGGAATACGCTCTGGTTCGCTTCAGTGATAAAAACCAGCTTGTATCAGCCTAACGAGCATATTTATAGGGTGAGACCACGCCCCTTCTGGCGGGACGTGACGATATGGGCGCGAATTGCCCCCATTGGTCATTACGTCACGCAGAGTCTCTCTCGATAGGCTGCTGCATTTGCTGCAGAGCAACCAATAGGCGCGCGAGCTGTTTCGCCTATGTCTGCTTGCTGCTGCAAAGCGTTTTACATTAATAAAAAATTAAGGATAATTTTTGGCTTCAATATCTCGCGGAAAAGAGTTTTTCCCCTAGCGTAAGCTATTACGCAGTACTCGTTCCCTCTCTAGAGAGAACCGAGGTTACGTTAGTAACCGAGTACGTTCTATGTAACAAATGCGCCACTGACCAGAAAAAAATAGTCTAAAGTCAGTGGCGCGTTGCGCGTTGTTCATTATGCTATTTTAAGGGCGCATGCTTGGCCATAATCAATGTAGCGTGTGCACAACGCGCATACACTTTGATTCTCTCATCTAAGCAGCAGTTTTCATTTTTGCAAATCATACATTATTACGATAGATAGATAGATAGATAGATAGATAGATAGATAGATAGATAGATAGATAGATAGATAGATAGATAGATAGATAGACAGACAGACAGACAGACAGATAGATAGATAGATAGATAGATAGATAGATAGATAGATAGATAGATAGATAGATAGATAGATAGATAGATAGATAGATAGATAGATAGATAGATAGATAGATAGATAGATAGATAGATAGATAGATAGGCAATTTATTATAAAAGCATACATGTAGCTTACACATTTACCCAAATTATCATACGCCTGTTTAACAGAAGTTAATTTGGGTGGGTTTCTACATCCCCAATGTCACTTCTCTGTGGTTTTACGGCCCTGACGAGAACGTTGCTCTCCTCGGCTGTGAACCGCTCCTGGCGCGCGCCTGGCAAATCCGCCGTTATAATAGGAATCCGCTTTAGAACAAGCGCGCCTGCTCTTAAAGGGAATGTGAGATGACGCTCTGATTATTTCACGTTACGCCCAAACCACACCTATGAATAATGAAGCTACTTCAGACCAACCCCTTTTAGATTTGCGCCAGGCGCAAGAGGCATTTATCCCGCCGGGAAAATAGCAACAGCGCCGGGATCCGCCCACAAAGTTACTTGCGCTTTGCGCTTTGACACTTGCGTTTCAGATCGTTAAAATAGGGCCCAGTGTGTGCAGACCCTTCTCACAGAGGCAAGCAAGGAAAACCCAAATATTGTCATAGAGTTGTCAAATGATGATTGGATGAAAGACCCTGATGTTGAGCTCCCCCCAGTTGTGCTGTTGGGTAAGTACAACACAACCATGCTCTTAGTTGATCTTGAAAATGTATGATGGAAAACACAATGTTAAAGTTTTTCTAGAGTTTGAATTACAAACTTAGCTATATCAAAATGAACAAATTTCTTTCTCCCATCAATCAATACGAATAGGGAGACCAGGTATGGTTGTAACATGGGGAGAGTTGTGTAACACCACCAATTCCACCAACCAGAGTTCTATGATAATTTCAGTTTACTCACTTCCTCCCAGATCCTATATAAATGGTTGTCAAGGCTGGAAATAGGCACATGCAGATTCTATAAAAAAAATCTAAAAAATAAAAAGATTTTTGTGGTAAGAATGAAAATTTTTTGGCCAGATTTTGTTTAGCATTTAAACTTTTGCAGATAAAATAATTTAACTTGTATAAGATAGTTTCGCAGGCTAATTTCAGTATGCTAATATGGCTAGTTAAACACCCAACAAACACAGAACGTTCCCCTAATGTTAGTATTTGGTTCCCGTTTGTTTGTTTCTGTTTTTTTAGAACCAAATAATAACCCTCTAAGAACGTTCTTTCTTTTAGGTTTTATTTTTTTGCAATCATAACATTTCCAGAACGTTGCTGGGTGGTTCTTTTTAAATAACCTAAACATAACTTCGACCGAACCTAATGGTAATTTGTAGGTTATTATTTTTCAACCATAAAATAACATTTCCACAACATTGCAGGGTAGTTATTTTAAATAACCAAAAAAAAAAAAAAACAGACCATCCCCTAATGGTTATTGAGAAGCTAAAGTTCAGCTAAATGCTTTATTGTCACTCCCACATCCTAAAATTAATTAAATGAAATTAAAATAAAGTTGTATGACTCTATACATTTGTAATAATTACACATAATTGGTTTTGTAAATATTTGTAAAGTGTATAAATGCTTTTGAGTGGAATGATACTCATGTTATAATAATTCAAAAAAATGAAAAAGCAACCTTTAGGGGTCATTTGCAAACTGCTTAGACTTGGTCTCACAAATGTGTTGTCTAAGTGCTTTAAGTGAGTTATATGAAAATTCCAATTGGACTAATTTGAGACCAAAAACCATGCTTGTGTCTATGCAACTTGCCCCGGTTTGTAACAAAGGTCCCTGCTCCATATGTTAAATGTGTTTAAAAAAAAATTAAAGACCGCTGCATGAAACCAACACTGCTAGTTGCTTATCACCATGAAAATAACAAACCATTAATTTGAATTTGTCCTCATTGCATTGCTCATTGTCCTCATCAGTACAGCCATAAAATACCCAGTATGTCATCAGCTGTTTGGGAGATGTTTTAAATATAGTTACATGTGAGGTCAGCTAATGACTACTTTCACATGCACCTACACAACTGCATAAGAACTGCCTATAAAAGCAATCAAAACCTCAAAGCCATAACAAATGTTTTGACTTAATTCAAGTAATCAGCACATAATGCTAAATAAACTAATGAATTTTCATCAAGGAGAAATTGATGCCCTTTCACTTATCACTGAATTACAGTTGACAGCTCGGGGCACTTTTGGAATTAAGGTCACAAGGTAAAGCACCTGTGTGGATCAGATTCTGGGCAGCTGTGTGGCCAGTCTGATTGGAGGACAATGCTGTCACACCTCATGATTTGTTGAAACGGAGAGTTGGATTCTATTCCTGGCTTGTGTAGTGGTGATATCACCAGCAATGCTTTCCACTCAGCTGTGCATCTGGCATATTTATCGAACTCAGCCTCTGTGTTGTTGGTGAAAAAAATAATCAAGGCATCCTTGACATGCAATTGCCCTGCACTGATCACATGTCATTTGTACTAAAAATACAGGATATAGAGCAACAGTGATAATATAAATAGCCATAAAACCGGACAGGTAAGAAGTGGAAAGGGTTGTCAATATTAGCCATGCTCTCCCAAGGCGCTGTGAGTCGAAAGGCCACGTTCTTGACAGAGAGAAGGCGGTCGTCTTTAGAAAAGACCAAAGGTCATAGACAACCAGGGTTGGACTTTCTTTGTCCCCCTGTTCTCGATGACCTGTTAACTCACCACCGGAGGGACATGCAGGATGGATTCTCTGATCCAGAGCAACTGAACAAAGTGTTAGAGTTTCAGAGTGATGAACTGCTGTGGACTGCTCAGAAACGGGGTGAGTCAGGTTTGATGAATAAGATGAAGATATCAAATATAATTTTAGGGAAGACAATGAAGAATTGTTTATATTTCAGCATCATTACTTTGGTCTGAAGTGTGCAGAATGTGTAAACTCAACTTTGTGCATTCGTAATGTTTCAGAGAGGACTTTTGCTAATCAAAATAGAAAAATGCAATGATAATCATATCAGTCATGTTCTTGAGTTTCAATATCCTGCTGAAAGGCAGCATATGTTGTGAATAACACCAACCAACAAATGTTGAAGTTTGGATACTGGTTCCCAGAATTGGATTCAGGTATGCTGGTGCAATTAACTGGCTTCTTAAATAGCTTAAATAGGTTTAGTGTTTGTTTTGTCTGCGCAGGACTAGTGGGTGCAGCAAATCAATGTTGTTCACCAGAAAGTGCTAGTCAGTGATGGCATTTTGTTTTCTTCTAGTGAACAACATTGTTTTGCAGTTCAACCAGCTAGACCAGCTAAGAACCAGTTTGTACCAGCATGAAAGGCTGATCTTTTTAGAAGTCTCTTTCTGACATCACATGTAGAAATCATATTCTAAATAAACTTTATTTATAAATTCATTTTTATTTATATTCATTATATGTATTAAAGGGATAGTTCACCCAAAAAGGAAAATGTGTCATTGTTCTTTTGTCATTCGAAACCGTAATGATGAACAGATTTAATTTATGCCTTTATTTGCATATAAACATTGCTCATTGCACATATTTTGAGCATATCACATATGCAGAAGCTCAACCATACTTGGTTGATATTTTCATTAAAAAATATCTTAATTTGTGTTCCAAAGATGAACAAAAGTCTTATGGGTTTGGAATGACATGAGGGTGAGTAAATAATGAATTACCAATTAAATTTGATAGTCTAGTGACCAATAATCAGATTTAACAATTTTGGTAATAATCTGCTATTTTGACAACAACTGGATATTTATATATATATATATATATATATATATATATATATATATATATATATATATATGTGTGTGACGCATACGAGTAATACTGTAATCCAGGCTTCGACTTCGGGTCTGCTAGTAAACCCCTCACATTCCCTACACTCACTCTTGATGAGACAGGCATCTTACATGAGACACACTGACATATTGAAGCTTTTCATGCAAGGATAACAAAGTTTGCGTCTTTTAAAATAGACTATACTTGCCACGCTCTACAAGTCTTTTATCACTTAGAAAGCCCTTAACTTACGGCATTGTGCTTCACACTGTCTGTGGGCGGATGGCACATTACTGAGGTGAGGAATCTGTGTGGAGTTGACACAGGATTTCTAAGGGATTGTGGTAATCTTCTGTGCATATGGATGTCATGCACAGATCAATACTCGAGAGCCCTGATCCCATTTACTGTTTGGGTCGGTCTCCATGCAACACTCCTACTACTCATTCTGCAGATTCCAGTAAAGATTTTCCTGGTGTCCCCTCAAAATAAATGATCTCATACAACCCACAGATTATGCCATTGCAATTAAACTCTGCTTCTACTATAAATATCTAACCTGTTACGCTATAGGCACTTTTTAGCATAGACTACATGGAAGTAGCATACAATTTGATCCGTTTAACAGAGCATGTTTTAAATGTCCCTGAAAGACGGGTCTATTATTCAAATAAAACAAGTCTACAAATGGACATAGATGTTTGCAGCTCAAAGGATTTAGCATCTATCTCATACATCAACAACTAAAAATGGCGCCAGTAAGCTATGATGACCAACTGATGGAGAACAATGGCTTACTAAAAATAGAGGCAAAAAGTGCTTGAAGCCATAGGAAAACATGACTAGCACTATATAAACTCAAGTCCTTGAAAGCATAAGCCATTTGAAAAGTTAGGCGGAGATGCTAAGAACTATGTGCTTTGAGAACCTCTGTTCAACCGTGCAGCTGAATGGACGGCAGGCTCTGCTGGATGATAACTGTGAGTTAGGACAAGATCATTGGGAAAGAGCTCATTTTCGTTCCTTGTGGCTCTATAGAGCTGTAGTGAAGGGAGACTCCAGAGGGCTTCGAACCCTCCTTAAAAGGAACTATATTGATGTTGATGTGTTTTACAATGTGAGCCGGGAGGAACTCGAGTGGAAATCTCAGACAGAAACCACATTTGGACCCTCAGGTAAAAACAGTCATTTGTGGGATGGAAACTAGGTATTTTGAAAATATTGTACTTTTTTGTGTTGTGTTGTTGGATAAAACAAAGGTTGAGTTTACTCCCAGTGCAAACAAAGATTAAACATTTTATTTTGCTACTGTGGAGCATTTATAATTTCAGATTTGTTTTAGATGTATTATATCTCTATTATTTTATATTCTGAGTAGCCTATTTTAAAATCTATTATTTTAAGACTTTACTATCTTATTACTTTCATTTCATTAATTATATTTTATTATTCATTATTACTCTTAAGATATATTTTTTGGCAATTCAACGGAAGTAACTTTTATTTACTTGTTTAGAGTAGAATCTATTCTGTAATATACAACTGTTCAAAAGTTTGGTGCTGCCAGTAAGATGTTTTTTTTTTTTTGTTTTTTTTTTTTTGTTTTTTGTGAAAGAATGCTCTTATACTCACCAAGGCTGCATTTATTTGATTATTTTAATAGATTTTTAATAGAGTCCTTAAGTCCTAATTTTAACATTTTGTCTTATTTTCTGTAAGATTCAGCGTTAGCGACCTGGAGCTATATCTAACACAGATGGATCTCTACCTGTCACAATAATATAAAACTCTCCTGATATTAGAGTAACAATTACAGAAGAATAAAATAAAGCATATGTTGTTACCTTTTGGAGCTTGGAAGGGTTCAGTTTGAGCAGATCTTTTATACCATCTTCCTCGTCAGAGCTCATTTCACATTCAGCATCTGCCTCATATTCGCGATCTCAAACATTCTCAAAACTATCATTTTCAACATCTTTAAAATCAATATTTTGATCACTGACAGCTTCTTCACCAGATCCACCATCAAGTGACAGTGACACTAATATTTGATTGCGTTCAGTACTTGCTTTTTAGTTTTGTTTTTGCCTGCGGTAACTCACTTCATCATTGTGTATCAGACATTACCTTGTGGAATAATTGCACTTATTCAGTCATCAAAGATTGAATTATCGTTGTGCAGAAAAATTTATACTTGCACTGTTACACACCTTGTGTACTTTTTTTTTTTTTTTTTTAATAATGAATTGATTGAGGAATACTAAGAAAGCATATAGGCTACTTTAAAAAATGAACGAGGAGGAAGGTAGTGAATGACGTCCCGGGTCACCAAAGACCTGACGTATGCAAAAAAACATATCACAGTTGTGATTGTCTGGTAATACTTCCCATTTCAGGTCTTTGGTCTTTGGAGTACAAAAGAGAACTGACAAGCCCACTGTGTATTGCTGCTGCACAAGGTTTCCCTGAATGTCTACAGTATTTACTGGAGCACGGCGCACACCCCAACCTTCTCGCAGGAGGAAAAGCAGCACTTCATGAGGCCTGTGTAAACGCCAACACTGAATGTGTAGAGCTGCTGCTGGAACATGGAGCTAATCCTAACCAGATTACAGAGGACGGACTGACTGCCTTACATCTCTGCAGAACACCACAATCACTACGGTAGGCTATCATCATTTGAAAATTATACATAGTCTACTACAGTATAGTATTAATACACCTTATTTTTATCATTATCATGAGTATAATTCAAACGTAATAGTAGCTACTAAATTAAACAAGTATGAATATGTAGTCAAATTATGTGTTGTTTTACATTGATAACTTATATGAAACCCATATTAGTAATATTTTATCTTTAGTGCAAAATGTGCAGCAGGTTCTTCCCCCCAAAAATAATTACACATTGTTTTTGCAGTGCAAGCTGGATTATTAAAAAAGTAGGCCTATCTATAATAAATTTTAGGGAAAAACAAAATCAAAAGAAAAATCAGTTCAAGCTGCAGTGTTTGTATTCTCTCATATTGAGCATTTGCTGTACATTTTTATTGTAGTTGTGCAAAAGCCTTGGTGAGATATGGTGCCAAGGTGAACGTTCCCAGTGAGGAAGAGGAAGAAACGCCATTGCATGTGGCAGCTAGACATGGTCTGCCCCACCATGCACAGCTGTACCTACGATTCGGAACCAGTGTAAACCATAGCAGCTCTTCGGGTGAAACACCACTGGGGGTGGTTTGTGGAGTCGCACCAGAAACGACAGCCAACAGCGAAGATGAACGATACCTCGAGCTCTGTCATCTCCTCCTGGCCTATGGAGCAAACATTAATTTAGCTGATAAAGAGCGCCGCAGTCCTCTACACAAGGCAGCCCACAATGTTCAGCATAAGATGGTGGGCCTTCTTCTGAATCATGGGGCTGATATCAATGCCATTGACTACAACGGATGTTCACCGCTATCTAGAGTTCTACAGTGCTCTGTGGTTCGGCAAAAATGGGAACCTCACATGGTTGTTCAGACCTTGTTAAATCGCGGCTCCATTAAAGTCTGGCCACAAGCACTGCTGAAGGTGATCACTAATAACATTAAATAATGGCATATTTCAATACTCGACAAAAAAAAAACTTCTCATTTCATTACATAACATTTTCTTACTACTGAAAAAAGCTGATTTCAAGTCTTTTAATTTGCTGATGTCTCATGCATTTTCAATCTCTGATGAATTAATTGAATTAATTAATTTAATGTTTTGTTTTGTTTTAAGGTATTGACAGCCTGTGCAGGGGCACCTAAAACTGTGGAAATCCTGTTTAACTCATACACATTTGTTCCTGTAACATACAAATGGGTTGAGGCCATACCTGAGGATACCTTTCATGTGAGTCTCTTATCATTTCACCAGGATCTTTGCATGCATACTATATGAAACCTGTGTAAACATGATTTATAGCATAATTATTTCAAATACTGTGTAGCAAAACCAGGCTAAAGGCTTAAAGGAAAATCAAATCAGCTTTGGAATTAGTCAATGCATGTTTGCATTATTGTACCAAAGTGAAGCAAAATAAATAAATATTAATACATTAATATTAATATAATTCTTTTTTTAGCTTCACCAACCCTTTTATGAGTCTCTTTTTGCACTGGAGTATAGACCACGTAGTTTACAGCATCTGTGTCGGTCCGCACTGAGGAAACAGTTTGGGAAAAACTGCTACTCACTCATTCCCAGTCTCCCTGTGCCAAAGCCACTACAGCAGTATCTTCTTCTGGAACCGGAAGGGTACATTGACTAGACCTAGACCTTTTGGCAAATAAAACTTTAGATAACTTCTGAAGGCTTTTTTAGCGTTATAAATTAAGTAGTCTGACAAAGCTGACTTCCTTACATTTCGCTAGCAGTGAAAATACAGTGATATTTTTAGATAGGGTTTTTGTTTTTCACCTGTCATACAGTATATAGACTGATATATTAGTGTAAGTAGGGTGAATTGCCCTAAAGTGGGCAAATGTCCAGTCATATATGAGGGTAAAGTAATCATCAAACAAGAAACACCTTGTGTGAAGACCACCCAAAGGTCAGTGACATAGCTATTTTTTGGCCTAATGTGCTTATGAAATGTTAAATAGAATACCTTAAAAAATAACAAAAAAAATAATATAATTTTGTATGTATAAACTATATTTTTTACCAAATTTCCTAGTGTAAGAAATGTGGTTTTGAAAAGTGTGACAATATGATTAGCCAAATGTGGGACCGTACTTCTGTCAGTCAAAAATGAGTGGTGGGGCATGGTTTGTGGGACAAAAATGGTTATTTACAGGGTTTTAGTGTTGTTGTGCAATATTAGAATGAATTCTGACTAAAGGTTGAACCTAGCCTAAAGTTTGATCAATCTGGGTTTTTTTTTTTTTTTTTTTTTTTTTTTGGCTTTTTTGCAAGTTGCCAGATTTTATATTTTCAAATAGGCCTAGGCTATGCCTGTTGTGATTGTATCTGTTGTTAAGTAAAATTAACTAGAGAACAGTCAGGAATTCTGACTGCATTTAACTGTTTTCTATATAATAGTTGCTTAATGTCATTATAATAAATGCATCAAAACTATCATATTGTATTATTTGTCTAATGATGTTCAATAGTCCATGTTTCATCCATCCATAACCAAGAGAATTACTAACTTAAGACGATTTTACTATTCTACATGTATCAAGGTGATTGTGGCCTTTTATCATAGACTTTTCAGTGTCCCACATTAGGGACACAACAAGTCTGAAATGCCAAAAATGTCCCATATTAGGGCAATTCACCCTAGCTTTACAATACATTTTATTGTTTGAATGGCAGTGTTATGTGTATGCTATGAATTCTTATTTAGGCCTAATTTCTATAAATATGTAGTTACAGCTCATTTGATATTTTTGCATAATTATTTAATTAAGAAATATTTTTCTTGTTTGTCCTCCAATAAAATATCTTTTGTCAAGTCTCCTTCATTTCTCAGAATACCTTTATGTTTGTGCTTTGTAAGGTGCACTGAGCAGTAGCTACCCAGCAAACACAGACCTTCTAACAACGTTTTAACAACATGGCCAAAAGGTTGCTAACTACGTTGTGTGGTGAAGGTTGGTACAGCGTTGTCACAATGTTGACATTAAACCACTGTTCAGAGCCATTTGCTTAAAGTCGTCATGAAATCAAATTTTACCATTCATATTTTTATATGTAATATTGTAGTGTTTATTATAAATGATTTATCTGTGCACTTTTTTTTTTTTTTTTTAAATTCATGTACCCTTATAATCTTTAATCAAATACGTTACCCTTCCCTCTCCCCTCGAAACGACTTCTCTTCTCTTCCGGTCAAAAACTATTACTAGAGGGCGTGGCTATTGGGGTCTGCCTCGTTTCTGGCCCGCCTCTCAGAAACCTGTTAGTGTCACTGACAGCCAGCAAATATGATGTTTAGGTGCATTTTTGATTGCGCTCCTCACGTCCTCTTTCCTATCCCTAAACAACCTTGTCTGCGTGCCCGCTGGCTCAAATTCCTGCATTTCGAAGGAGGAGGAATAACGGCGAGTTCGCATCTGTGTGCAAGGCATATCACTGAACAATGTTTTAAGAATTTGGTACGATATAAAATGGGATGCTCTCAAGGGTGAACTTGACGATCAGCTGCCTCATCTTGGTTCGCGGGAGGCATGGGGTGATTCCTTCTGGAAAATTTGGCTGCTCATCCTCGTTCTCATCGTCGGGTTCCTAAATTAAAAATTCTTCATGGGAGGGTAACGGTGGTGAGTCCGGTGGCAAAAAAAAAAATGACAAAAAGACACCATAGACATGACGGGGCGCGGGACAGGTTCGTATAGACGTGACGGGTCGCGGGACAGGCTCGTATAGACGTGACGGGATGCGGGACAGGCTCGCCTAGATCTGACGGGTCGCTGGACAGGTGACAGGTCGAGTGACAGGCGCATATAGCGGTGACAGGTTGAGTGACAGGTCTCAGTGGCAGCTGCCCCTGCCACGGAAAGATTTTACCCCCTCTCAGGTGAGTAATCCTGAAAAATGCAGGGAAACAACAAGTGTAATAATTTAACAACATACACAAATTGCACAAATGGCAAATAAACATTGGGTGCTCATAAAAATAGGTATATTCACTATTTAAAGAACAATCTCGATGAGGCCAGTGCTAAGAGAGCTGGGGTGGGTATTGGCCACCCAGATGATTGTTTTGCAATCAGTAGTGTGATTGTATCTGAGAGAGAGCTGTCTCAGGGGCTCAGTCTGTAGGCTACTCTGTACCTGCGGCTAAAATACAACAAAACAAGCATAATTTCTTCTTAATTTTTGACACAATATGGGACATCTGATTACCACAGCACTTGCTTACATCAGTTAATAGTTCATAAACTGTTGCTTCAACTGATCTCTAACTTCTTTAACTTCAGTAAACACACAGAAACGAACCGATCAACTGCACAAACCTCTGCTCGTGCTCAGCCATGAACTGTTGTCGAAAGCTGATGACGTAACATGCAGGTAGGCACGCCCTCACGTGATGTTAATTGGTCGATTGATAAATTTAAATCTGATTGGCTAAAGAGTATGACTGATCCGTTTAGGAGAGGTATGGGATCAAAATCCCGCCAAATGTATTGCGGCCACGGATCAATAAATAATAACCGTGATTCAAAAATGTAAAAACACATGTAAAAATATATTGCACAAACTGAAAAAAAGAATGCAAAATGATCAGAAAAGCAAAAAACATGGTCACGGATCAAAATATAATAAGCGTGAATCAAAAAATAACAAGCGTGAATCAAAACTTTAAACACATTAAAAAATATTTTGCACAAAACTTACATTTTTGTTCATGTTTTTCACTTGTTTTTCAAATGTTGCAGTTCGAGTTTCATGTAAATTAGGGCAGGCTTAAGCGTCACCATTGGTCCATAATTCTAGATTGACAGCTCCTCCTCTAGCCACTCAATCAAAGAGAGGGGTTGACGTCACTCCAATGCGACTCATGCTACTGATGTTCACCAAGGGGGTAATCCACCAGCCGGAAACTGAAGTCTCCCTGTGGGCCGCCATTGGTTAGCAAGCCTTCACCTGCTGTTAGCATTCCATTGACTCCCATTCATTTTGGCGTCACTTTGACAGCGAATAACTTTACATCTTAGGCGTTTAAAGACTCCATTTGTCCATTGTTTATTTCTAAAGAAACACGACAATGTATAAAAGGCTCCAATACCTTGTATCTTACGTTATGGCCCCGTAGAAGCAGTTTTTGTAAAAATAGGCTAACGATTGCGTCATAACACGCGACTCTCTGTCGCACAGTACAGAAATTACCGTATAGATAGAAGGAGAAGCTCGCTCGCAATCGGGGGGATGTGGAGGCATAAAGTCAAGGGAGAAGCCCATAGAGAGTCATAAAGTTGATCCTCCTGCTAGCTCATGGACAGCTAATACTCACAATCTCCGGCTCTGCAAGTTTCGGAAGGGAATAATTCAGATTCCTCTTGGCACAGCTACTAGAAGACGTACAACTGTCAGACAGGTTGCTCACGTCACATCTACGTCGTCAAGCTCAGTTTGAGCATGTGCAGTGCGCTTGGCAATCAGGAAGTGAGTGCTTCTAATTGACTTCACTTTTCTCCGTTGAAGTCTATGGAGTCGCTGTGTCCATTTCTTTTACTGTCTATGATGTTCACTCGTAGCTACAGGTGAAGATAACCATCAGCTCAGCTGGCAAAAATCTTTCTGTGGCAGGACACCATTAAACTATATGTGTCTGCAACTCGACCTGTTACCGGTACATATACCAGGCGATCCGTTATCGTTAAATTCGTCATCCTAACGACGACGACCTGTCACAGTTGTGCCTGTCTGACGATCCATCATATTCACCTTTAATGTCCTGGCCTTACTTCTGGACCTGGCACTGCGAGCGTCGATCTCCTCCGAGCCACACAACAGTGTTTCATCAAAGAATTCCCGATTTGAACGAGCAGTTTGAATGAATGATTCACTCATAAAGACAATAACTTGCCACCACCTACTGGCCGTTTTACTTTTATATTTAATCTATAACATGGAAGGGCAATGTCGGTCCTCCTGGGTGCAGAGTTTAGCTCCTCCAACCCTAATCAAACACACCTGAACCAGCTAATCATCATCTCTAGGATTATTAATACTGCTAGAGTTGACGCTAAACTCTGCAGGACACTCCAGAAATGACGTTGCCTATCCCTGATCTTTTCAATAATTTTCATGTTGCTGTATTAAAAATGTAAGCTATATAAAACATTAATCAAAGTAATATGCAAATATGTAGCTATGTAAATGAACACAATAAGTATGTAATAAATCATTGCATATCAAATCCACCTGGTTTCTGTAATCTCCTCTGCACACTATCATTTTCATTAATCTTTTGTCAAATGGTAGCCTATATCTAGTCTTAGAATTAATTTACCAGGCTACATATATGATCGCTTAACAACAACAATTAAGAAAACATTTGAGGATGGCGTAGGCTATTTAACGGTAACGGGTCGCCAGGTAGGCTGTGTAAGTGATGGCCAAATTGTCTGAATTTACAAGGTCATTATCAATTTAATTGTATAGCTATTTTGAAGGACTTTTATTTTGATACGGCCTTAATGTGTGCCATCATGGGTGTTTAAAGCGCGCTCTGTTTCCGCTATGTGTATGTCCGCACACTTCTGTGAAGGACGCAGCTTGTATACACGAAGGTTTTTCTCTCCCCATGAAGTTTTTGTGCATCCCACTTGAGGGTTATAAGGTAACTAAGTTTAATGTTTATCATTTGTAATTGTATCGTTTTATTGTGATGTTGGTTAACAGGTTTGAGTGATACAGTGTTTGTTTGTATTTTTTGTTTTGCTGTAGCTCTTACGGT